ATTTAATTTTTAAGTTCTTAATTGTTCTAAGAACTGTCAATAAGAGATGGCGCTTTTTGTGTGTAACTTTTTAACTTCAAATTGAATTGCAATTTAAAAGCACTTGAATGACAATAAGCGGGCGATTTAACTTTTTAAATTTGATTCTAATCAAATGTCTTACATTTTAAGGTCAAACTGATCAACCGTTTTAATTTGTTTTATTTTCTCTTTTTTGGACTATTTTAGAGACTTTTATTATCTCAATGAACGATATGGTGTTGAGGATGAAAACTTTCACCGAGATGAAGATGTAAATGCTTACAATAGCATTGTATCTGAATATGGTACTAGAAAACGAGGATCGAAATAGTTTGGTTAATATTCAAAGATCAATGGTCAATCTCTATGTTTGTTATGTTTTTGTCAAATTGTCCAAATGATGAGATTTTCGTTCATCCACAAAATGTAGAAAAAGAAATGTGATTACGATATTTTTTTTCAATCAAATTGATGAGTGTTTTTGAAATTTCAAGGTTTAATGAGTGTCTAATTTTCAATACAATTGTGAGATTAAAAAAGTGTCTTCATTAATCCAATTGTAAATCGTCCTTTTTTTCAAGTCTCCTGTCCAACTCTAGCCTTACGCAAAAACAAAGTAATCTGTATAATTGTACAAATATTGTAATCCAATAATAATAAACGATTTAAACACAAGTGTGAATTTTTTTTTCTATCTCAATCTGTCATCATTTGCACAGACACTTTCCTTCCCAAGTAGCTCTCCTTTTTTCGTGGCTTATTGCGCAGTTTCGGGTCCAATAAGAGGAACACTTTCCACCACATTCAGGGCATGGTCTTTGTAGGGCATAGCCACCACATTCAGCACAGTCAAGGGATATATGGTGATCGTACCAACTAACTCCACAGGTAAAACATGATTCATAAGATAAACGGAGTCCTTCGATGGTTGGAATGTCAGAGAAGTGGTCTTGATTTACTTCAGTTGTTGGCATGATTGTGATTAGTTTAGACGTATTTAGTGATAAAAGATGAAAATGTCAAGAGTAAAAAGATCACAGTGTAATGAAAACGGATGGCAAAAAGAGAGCAATAAGAGAGTGAATGGATGGAAAGGAGGAAAGTATAAACCAGGCTTGGTGGCTTTTTATAAAATTAAGTTAGTAATTAAGTAGACTTGGTCAGTTATAAGTATAATTTGGTGATTAAATGATGGTCATAATAAACTTGATGTGTAAAAAAAGATGAAAATTAACTGATTGAAAATACACCGAAACAACTTATTAACTAAATACAAACAGTTCCTGACATTCAGGTTTCTCACTCTTTTCTCACTTTTTCCCCTCAACCAAAAAGTAAACAAGAGAGAGACATAGAGAGAGAGAGGGAGAGGAAAAGAGGAAGAAGGAGGCTTAAAAAGACAGAGGAAGAGAAAGAAGATGAAGGAGGAGGATGTGAAAAGACAGAGGAAGACAGAGGTCGCTATGATTTTATTTAAAAATTAAGCAATTCAGATTTTATCTCATTCTAATTGTTAATCAATCATTAAACGGTTTTGGATGATTAATCTCAACACCTACTTCCATCTATCATTGTCAGTTTAAACTATTATTGTCCGTTTAAATTTTCATTTCAATTTTTCTTTCATCTTTTTCTCATCCTCTGTCGACATTTCTTTTTGTTTCACCCTCTTTTAATCTCCCTCTCTGATGCTTTATCTCTGTCTAAATATCTTTCTTTCTTTCTTCTCTTTATCGATTTATTTTGACTTCCGTGTTCTGGTTTCTTTTTGGGGTTCAAATCTATTTAAAATGTGACCCAAAGATATCCATCATTATGGTTTCTCGTTAACAGAGTGTATCACAGGTTATCGTTTACTGTTTCCAGTTGAGGTGATTCATTTGTCTCAAGGATTTTGCTCTTCTGTTCAGTAGTCAAAGTGGTCAATTTGGATCCGGAAATTGGCCAAATCCTTCTTCTTGCTCATAAAAATGGCTTCAAGCCAATGTTTGTTTTGGCTTAACATTGAAACAATGGCGAAGGAAATTCAGAGGTTAAAGCAATTCTCGTTAAAGTTAACCCAAAATTTTAAAACCTTTCCAGAGGTTCAGTAAAACCCTTTTCAAACCCTAGGGCAAGTGACATTTCTTGGCAAAGGGCAGGTACAGAGGACAGAGGACAGAGGTTTCAAGAGGTTGCTTGTCTTAATTTCAACCTAAAACCAAGACTCATTTCAACCTTGCAACGATTGATTATTGACAATTTTTTTTACTTGTCATTAGTTTTTTAGCTCAAACCCAATTACGGTCAAGGTCTTGACTATGAACAATCAATAGTAAATCCACTGGAACTGATTAGTTGAAAGTTAAATTAAGTCATTTGGAAATGTGTTGGTAAATTTAAACTCATATTGATTAATTACTTCATCATGGGTAACATTTTTAGGTTTGTTTTGATTCTAGTTTTTCAGTTTCAATATGCAGGTTCAATCGTTCGCTTAAAATGATCGATATCAACTCGATTAATGATTAATTGCATGAAATACAATAAAATGGGTCAACTATTTATTACCAGTTAAACCAGTAATGAAGTTAATTGCCAATTAAAACAACATTTGATGATCTCACCCAATAATCGTTCATTAAACACCGTTTTGTAGCGATTGAGAATCGATTGTCGAAATATTTTAATAGTTCAAATTTTGATACCAATCTTTTAAAGCTATTGTTTGAATGACTTTGAAATCGTTTATTCATATGTAATATTCAAAAATTAAGTGTTTAAAATGTGAAAGAGAAATGGTCCAAATTATTCTCCTCTTTCTTTATTCTGTCTATTCCCCTGTCTTATTTCTCATTCTTAACAATGGTCAGAAGGGCAAAACAAATACTTTGTTTTAACTAAAGGATTATTGAGGGGAGTTGTAATTATGACTCCAATGTGGTAACTTGAAAATGTCTGGAACTAGTGCTTGGTCAATTGGACTAGTGCTTATTTAACTATTAGTTTAACTAAATTTTAGTTAATTTAAATGGGAATTATTGTCCACAAATGGTTATTATTAATAAATGTTATTAAATGGCCTTAAAATGTTACACATATTACTGTCGAAACTCATACCTTCAAAATATCAGGTCAAAAAAACGACAAATTTTTATCTTGAATCTCGATTTTGGTTAAAACTATCAAAGGGCAATCCAATTATTCAATCCAAAAGGCAACTCTATTCCTGAAAATCTGATGTTGCTGTTCATTTGAGAAAAATTGATCGGATTTAACATTCTTGTTAACCATGAAATCCGTAATAATTGGCTTACAATTGATTTACATTTCCTTTCAACACTGAAAGTAGTAGTTCATTTATACAGTAAATATGCCTGATCTAACCACTATGAATTATTCAATCTTTTCTCAAGAAAATAGATTTCATTTGACTCATGAAAGTGTTGCTCGTCGACTGAATAATCTCAGCTCTTGAGTCGAGAAAAAAAGTTTGCCAAGAGTTTTCATTTACTGGATAAATTTGTCAACTTTTTTCGAATGAATCCAAATTTTTGCTGGATTCAGTCTTTTCCAATGCTGATTCTTATAATGAATCCAGAACTCTCCAGTCGACCTTGCTTGAGTAGGTTTCGAGGCTTTCACCTTTTCGTCTCAACTCATCTGTGTCTTGGAAATGGGTTTGGCATACTTTTTTTTGAAAGCAGATCAGTGCAAGTTCATTTGACACAAGATCCCGTATTTAATTTTGCTAAATTATGTATCAATTTAAAGAACGTTTTTTATCTGAAATCATTGATCAGAATTTTCTCTTCTCCTCTTTCAGTATTCATGGAT